TTGGATCTTATTAACCAAAGAGATACGACTTTGCACTATAGTTAGTTCAGCACCAATCAAAAATCCCCAAGGAATTCCAAGAATTCTTGTTATACGCTCGTTCCAACCCTCAATTCTCTTTTCTAGGTTCATTGATATTGAATCAATCGAACGCACTTCTAATACTTGTTCCACTTTTGGAAGACCCTGCGTTATATCGCCAGATCGTGATTTTTCATATATAAATGTAACTAAGGTATCTCCTTCGTAAAGGATTTCTCCATAATGTCGATGAACAGTTGCTCCTGAAGTGGCCAAATAAGGCTTAGCTGATCTTATTACTACAGAATCAACTTGAACAATTATAATTTGACCCGATTTTAGGTGTGGTCCATTTTTGGCTATACATACATTTTCAAAAAAAAACTGTCCAAGAACATTTTTTGCTAAGACCCGCATAGAAATATGCTACTGATGTGAGTAAAGCTAAAGCAACAGTAGTATTTATATCATTTGTGACCCGCATAGAAATATGCTACTGATGTGAGTAAAGCTAAAGCAACAGTAGTATTTATATCATTTGTGGGTGCGGCTAACTCTCCGTGAGGTAACTGTATGATTTTCCAAGGTAAAAGAGCCCCTGATCAATTCGAAACAAAAATAAATAGAAACATAGTTCCAATAAAGGGAACTCACGGACCATATTCTTCGCCAATTTGGGTTTTGCTCACGTCTCAAATGAATTCAATGACATATTCGAAGAAATTCTAAACGTCATTAGGAATGGTTTGTGGAACCCCTTTATGGCTGACTTTTTCTATGTTGTAATTTTTGTTAGTTAGTGCGCACATAGTTGCACATGAACCATATAGCAAATATATTTTGTATTTTAATGACAAAGAGTCAACATAAGATTTCTCCCTCACTTACATAGAGGAGGCATGCATGCTGTCGAAACACAGTACCGAGGTTGAATCAACTACTGTAGTGTCACGACAATAGATGCCGAGGACTCAATTTTAAGTCATTCGTGTGACGGTGTGCACGGGAGGCCAACATGTGCCCCCGCCAATGCAACAAACCTAAGTGGGTGTTATATGTGGGGGCAGCGATGCGTGACGCCCAGGCAGACGTGCCCTCGACCAGAAGGCTCTGGGCGCAACTTGTTTTCAAAGACTCAGTGGTTTGCGGGATCCTGCAATTCACACCAAGTATCGCATTTCTCTACGCTTTTTATCAATGAGAGAGCCGAGATATCCGTTGCCGAGAGTCATTGTCAATAATACGACAAGAATTCTTTGCCCCTCTTATACCAAGACTGGGGCAAGCGGCAAACTTATTCGTTTGAGCTCCATGGCGTGACTTGCGCCGGTTTTTGTTTAGGCATTAGAGGGGGCACGAATGCTCCCCCCAATACAAAAAGTTTGTAAATACATTCACGGGTCGTGATGTTTAAGCATCGACAATGATCCTTCCACAGGTTCACCTACAAAAACCTTGTTACGACTTCTATTTCCTCTAAATGATAAGGTCCAATGGACTTCTCGCGATGTCGCAGGCAGCGAACCTCCCACATCGCCACAATCTGAACAATTCACCGGACCATGCACCGCCCACATTACATTTTATCTTCAATATATTAAAAATTCTCAGAGGATGGAGGGTTATCAAACTTACTTGAACTCGTCCCATTCATCCATTGACTTTTAACTCTCAATTCGTTCAATAAGATTGTTTCAAATCTTCCTATAAGGCTTTATTCGATTCTTTCACGAATTTTGTTCCACATATTGAAGTGACGCTAATGGTGTAAAAATCTTCTTCAGTCAAGCTAGATACAAGCTCAATTTTGAGTAACAAGTTTAACCTAAACGCACTTTTGCAAGCTCGAACGAGAACTTATTATCCACTAGGTATTAGCTCTCGAGTCCTTTATGAAAGTTGCTCAAAATTCCCTACAAGGTTGTAGGAACAAGAACGGGGTCGTTTAGTGCCATGCAGAGAAAGAATTTCTCAATTTACAGTAGTGAGGCTTACTCGAGAGAATTGTTGTTTATGGTCTCTAGTGATCGAATTTCTTTCTAAAAAAACTATCTCAGAGGATTGTTGCTTATGGTTTCGAGTATTTTATTCACGTTGTAAATTCGATTTCATATTAAAATATTATAATTAAGATCGGTCTAAAATCTCTTTTAAGGTTTAAAGGTTTTTATGAAAAAAGTTGAAAAATTTTCGACGTATCAAACTTGAAAACATCGATTGAATTTTCAAGAAGACGAATAATCAAGCCATGTACTTATTTAAAAACGTTACTTAGTAGAATATCAATAATTCAATACTCATCTAAAAATATCAACAAACTAAAGGCCGAACAAAAAATATCAATAAGAGCGAAGTTTAAAATTCAACCTCGAAATCAAGACCTACTACACATCCGAGAAAGAAGAATTAGCTTATTGATACATATTCAAATTCATTTACAAACTAAAATTTTCAAACAATATGAATATGAACGTATTATCGATATTTTATCGACCTTTTATAAAATTAATATATTTACGTCGAGGTTTAAAACTTGGAATTAAAATTAAAAAAAAATAATAATTACAACAACATGACATAACTGCTTACGACAGAAATCTACCGACGTTGGTCCTAAAAGAATTTTGGTGTGAATTTGGAACAAAGCAGCGAGAAATTTGCAGACAAACAAAACCAAAAGACGTTTGACTTTGACCAACTTGAACAATTCTTCCAACAAAAAAGAAAGCAATGCTACGTGGAAGTTTATTGGCTTCAGACGGGGATGGTCGGAAAAACAGGGCAAAATGTCAACCATCTCTAATATTACTAATTGTGTTACAATAAATATATTTAATAACTCGAAAATTTGATCGACTCGATCCAATTTATATAGCTTGAACGTTGATGAAATTAATGTCTTGTACGTGTGGCTGCCATGCATATGAGGCTAATAAGACTTTGGTAGGCAAATGTTTCAAGAAAAATTGTTGCTATGGTATTGTTTCCCTCATAAAGTAGCTTATTCACACGTGGGTACTCGTTGTTTAAATTGGGAGCACAAGCAAGTATTCATAATCGACATGTGCATTTCAACCCTAAATTCAAGGAAGAACACGAGAAGAAGGAACATCTTATCTTTTACTTCATCTTGTATGTTATCTTGAGTAGAAAATGTTATATGTGTGTAGTAATCAACGTTCTAGGCTAAACCCATCTCATTTTCCCATCCAGACTCATGCAAGTGTCACCACTTACCTTTTATTAACCTAAATTCTTTGTCTACCTTGCACATCCTGCACCCACTCTCTAATTGTTAATTGTTTAGACGACATCCTTTTATGGCTTGAACCAGCTTGGGTCAATACAACTAGTACTCTTCTAGCTTATCTTAGTAAGCGGGGTACCTACACCTTTATCAATATTGAGCTGCAAACAACGTCATGTCAATAGTTGTTTGGTAACTATTGTTATAGATATTTCCTCGAATGAGATAATTCATCTATTGACTCCCTCTACTAGTTCGTCTATCTCGACATGCTCCAAATCAACCTATATGTGGGTTTCGTCCATAGTTTAAGCTGATGTATGAGTTATTTTTCCACTTAAGAGATCTATCATTATATCTTCCTTTCTCGAGTGACGTAATATGTCCACATCAGGCCACTTACATTATCTCATATTCAACACAGGCTACCTTGTAGAAGTCTAACGCAAACTCTTGATAATATCAAATCAAACCTAAGAAATTAGGCATCTTGGTGATAGTAGTAGAACAAGGCCACTTGATTACTACTTTCACTCTAGCTTGATACCACTTGGTTACTACTTTCACCTTAGTTTGATATCACTTGGTTACTACTTTCGTTCGTATGTATGTATGTATATATATATATATATATATATATGATATTTTTATAAAATTTAAATCTCAAGAAAAGGCAAAAGAATAAGCTGTCCAATATATAATGAATAATTAAAGAATGGGAAAAGGAAAAAGGAGGGATAGGTTAATACTTTTATTGATGTAAAAGACATAATAAACGTGTGGACCAATTTCGGATGTCGTGGTGAGACATCAGATATCATGTTTGTTTAAGGGAAAAAAAAAAAAAAAAAAAACACACTTTACTTTCTCACTTTTGCAAACCCTTCACTTTGCATTTCGAATTCGTCCGACATCAAATACAAATGGTCAGGTTAATGTTAATTTGCAAATCATTTAAATCTCGAATTTTCAAAAGTTTAGCCTAATCTAACTCAATCCAATATTTGTAATTTAGATTGGTTAGTCCGAGTTTGGTTGAATTATCGAATCATATGAATATCCTTACTTAAATTTTAATTTAAGAATTTTGATATAAATTATAAGAAATATTTTTTAATTTTTAATTTAATAAAATGTTAGAAAGGTTTAAATTAAATCTAAGTCTCTATACTTTTAAATATCTAAAATTTATTAATAAATATTAAACAATAAAAAAAGAATAGTGTCTATAAGTTTTTTTTTTTTTGTTATAAATTTTAGATAAATTTTTATTATAATTTTATCAATTTTGAAAAAATTAAAAAATTTCAACCTTAGAATAAAATATAATATAATATTAAATTTATTTTAAAATAAGTTTTTATTATCTAAATATTCGATAATATGATCTCCGTCCACTGATAAAGTTTAGAAAATTATTAAACATTAAAAGTTTATGGATCAAATAAATATAAAATTCAAAATTTAGTAACGAAAGAAAAAAGGATGGATCAATTTTATATTTATTTATCTTTTAGACATAAATTTAAAATTTATGTCAGAAAAAATTGAATTTTAAAATTAAAAGATTAAATTTATAATAAAAAAAAAGAAAGGGAATATTTGTGGTGGTTGTGTGTGAGTGGCAAGAAGGTAATAATCTAAAACAGTAAGGGTAATAGTGAAGCGGGCAATTGGTGAATGGTCTTCCTTAAACATCATCTAATGGCGAAACGATTCCGTTTGGTAATAAAGGGGTTCCACCGCTTTCGTTGATAATATCTGAAATTTCCATCCCAATTTATGAACTCAACTACCTTCTCTCTGGCCATGCCTTCTTCTGGGTATTGTTTTTCTTCCCCTTTTTCTTTTCAATTTTCCTTTACGGCTACTGATGTTCCTACTTTAGTGTGCATTAGGCGACCCTTTATGCTAATTTTCAGCTACTTCTCTTGTTTTTGAGGTGAAATCTTCTTGATTCTTCACTTTTTAGCTGTTTTAATCGCCCCCTTCACCCTTCTTTTTGTTGCTTTGCTTGAGAATATGCGGATCTTGCCCTTGCTTTGGATTCCATAAGCTTGTTCTTCACTGTTTCTATGTCTTTTCATGAGTTTAGCTGATGAATGCAAGATTTCTCCCCCTTTCTATGCTTTTTTACTTGGATTAGTGTTCATGGATTCAGGATTTTGTGTATGAGAAAAGAGGTAAAGGGTATTTTCTGCTTGTTCATATCTGTGTGGAGAGTGAGCTTAAGGGAATCCCTTGATATCTGTTTGAAGGTTAAGCATTAGGACAGATGGGGGTTTTTCTTGTAATGTTTGATTGTTTTCTATTTCCTTTTTCGTTTTAGGACAAATTATCTGATGTCAATTTCCTCTAGGGTTTGTGGTGTATATGTCAATTTCGGTTGGAGGGGGAACGAAGAATTCCTTATAAGGGTGTGGTAACCTGTCCATGGCAGACCTGTTTTAAAATCTTGAGGGGAAGCTTGAAAGGAAAAGTCCGAAGAGGATAATATTTGCTAGCAGTGAGCTTGAGTTGTTACAAATGGTATCAGAACTAGGTATTGGGTGGTGTGTCAACGAGGATGTTGGGCCTCAAGAGGGGTGGATTGTGAGATCCCACATCGGTTGGAGAGGGGAATGAAGTATTGGCAGATGCATTTTAAAACTTTGAGGGGAAGTTCAAAAGGGAAAGCCCAAAGAGAACAATATCTGCTAGCAGTGAGTTTGAGCTATTACAAATGGTATCAGAGTCAGGCACCAAGCAGTGTGCCAGCGAGGACGCTGGGCCTTCAAGAGGGTGGATTGTGAGATACCACATCGATTGGAGAGGAGAACGAAACATTCCTTACAAGGGTGTGGAAACCTCTCCCTGGCAGACGAGTTTGAAAACCTTGAGGAAAAGTCCAAAGAGGACAATATTTGCTAGCAATGAGCTTGAGCTTTTACAAATGGTATCAGAGCCAGACATCAGGCAGTGTGCCAGCGAGGACGTTGGGTTCTCAAGGGGGGTGGATTGTGAGATCCCACATCGTTTATAGGGGAACAAAGCATTCCTTATACTTATAAGGGTGTGGGAACCTCTCCCTAGCAGACTCGTTTTAAAACCTTGAGGGGAAGCCCAAAAGGAAAATCCCAGAAAGGACAATATCTGCTAGCGGTTAGCTTGAGCGGTTACATATTCATTCACATACCGTGTTTGATTTGTGTAGACCTGGCTGATTAAACATGATCATTAAAACGACGTGTTCATGGATAAGAACAGTAGCCTAATGAGTAATTTTGTAGGCGAATTAAGCTCAAACGAAACTGTTCTTGGGTTTTCTGATCACAATACATAGTTTAGGACTCTTTAATGCTTCGAAATCTTATGTGGTAGTACAGAAATCAAATCGTTCTCTAGTTTATGACTCTCATTTTGTGTTAGGCTGCTTTTTCTCAGAATCTCGAAACGATTGATCCTGAAGCATTGAAATAACACGGGTTATTTTGCTGACAAAAGGAGAGAGTCTGTTATAAGTTTCGGATCGTTTTTGTTTTCCACAAGTGTCCTGTTGTTGCTCTGGGGTCAATCTCCAATGCAGGAATCGTCAAGAAAGAAAGTTCCGAACCAATCTCATAGGTTCTACGAACAGCCACCGCAAGAACCTGGGTCGTGTTACTGGCCTCCTATGAACCATGAAGGTGGCTTGTACTCTGATGATGTATTTGAACAAAATCACTTACCATCTGAGGCTTTCAAACAGTACTGCAACCTCGAGTCATCCTCAGGAACTAGTGGTTACCCTCCTCAAAATTCTTCCTCGACTGCTAGCTTCACATCGAATGGAAGCCCTTCTTCGCACCAAGAGTGCCACTCGTACCCGTTAGACCCGTATTATTCTCCCGACAATAACTGTGGCTCACCTGTCAGTAGATCTTGTTTAACAGATGATGCTGCTGATGACTTAAGGCACAAAATCAGGGAATTGGAGACTGCCATGCTTGGACCGGATGCCGATGGGTTTGACATCTACTTGGTCGCTAATCCAGTCGATCCTGTATTGCCTGTGCAAGAAGCAGGGTGGAAAGATGTGGCTGAGATAATGACGAGAAAGGATTTGAAAGAGATGCTTTGTGCTTGTGCACGAGCAATAGGGGAAAACGATATGTTGACTGGTGAATGGTTGGTGTCGGAGCTACGTGGAATGGTCTCGGTTTCGGGTGAGCCAATCCAGCGTTTAGGAGCTTACTTGTTAGAGGCACTTATTGCAAGGACAGCCTCTTCAGGCAATTCTATCTACAAAGCCTTAAGATGTAAAGAGCCTATAGGTACTGAGATGCTCTCATACATGCACATTCTCTATGAAATTTGCCCTTATTTCAAGTTTGGATACCTTTCAGCAAATGGGGCAATTGCTGAAGCCATTAAAGGTGAAAATAGAGTTCACATAATTGATTTCCAGATAGCACAGGGAAATCAATGGATTACATTGATGCAAGCTCTTGCAAATCGACCTGGAGGACCCCCGAAGGTTACCATTACAGGCATAGATGATTCTGCTTCCACTTTTGCTCGAGGAGGAGGGCTCGAGATTGTCGGGAAAAGGTTGTCGCTTTTGGCAGAGTCGTTAATGGTACCCTTTGAGTTCCGTGGAATTGCAGGCTCTGCTTCTGAAATTCAACCCGAAGATCTTAAAGTTCAACCAGGTGAAGCCATTGCTGTGAGTTTTACCTTGGTGCTGCATCATATGCCCGACGAAAGCGTTGGCAGTCAGAATCACCGGGATCGAATCTTGCGGCTGGTCAAGAGCTTGTCTCCAAAAGTTGTGACAGTCGTCGAGCTCGAGTCGAACAACAATACAGCTCCCTTTTATTCCCGTTTCCTCCAGACATTAAAATATTACACAGCTATCTTCGAATCCATAGATGTTACCCTCCCAAGAGATCACAAGGAGCGAATCAATGTGGAGCAGCACTGTTTAGCTCGCGACATCGTAAACATAGTTGCATGTGAAGGAGCCGAAAGAGTCGAACGTCATGAACTTCTCGGAAAATGGAGATCACGGTTCCTCATGGCAGGGTTTAAGCCACACCCCTTGAGCCCATTTGTCAATGCTACCATTGAGGCACTGCTAAAGAACTACAGTGACAAGTACACGCTTGAAGAAAGGGATGGGGCTCTATATCTCGGCTGGTTGAATCAAAATTTGGTAACCTCTAGTGCTTGGATATGACACCTACTTAGTTGTAAAAGGCATCTTCCCACTTCAAACCTATGAACTTATGATCTTTTGATGATTTCATTAGAACTGATATCTGTATTCACTAGAAGAGTTGTTGCTAATTAATACTTATATTTCAAGTATTTGAATTACTTTGTAAAGATACATCTTCTGTGTAACAAATAAAACCAGGTGGTTCATATCATATTTGTACATGTATTGACCGCGAGGTTAGAATTAAGGCTGTTAACACCAGAATAAGATCATAAACAACAAAGGGCACACATATGGAAAGAAAGCAACTGGTGGTGTCTCGTTCTCGTGGCTATGGCCCTGTTAGTATTCTCCCGATGCTCGGCGGATATGGGTGAGACGAATGGTTTAGTGGAACAACCTCCATGCTTCGGCTCTCGCTCAAGCTCTCTCTTGGTCCATGCTGGTTCATACCTCTATTGTGAACACTGAAATATGTTGGGGCTGAGTTTTCTTGAACTACTTCGAAGTTGAAATTGCCATTTGGAGCGAGAGCCTGCTGCCTGTACTCGTTTGATCTATTTTCACCAATGCCAACGCCAAGATCAAGGCTTACGGTGTCCCTGTCTTCGAGTCTATACCTCAATGGTGCGGTTCTCAATGGGCCTGCAGCGTCATGGCTACTAGTTTTTGCAGTGGGGACATCGTGATTATGTTTCCCTTCATATGTAGTTATAACAGCTTTTGGGTCATGAGATGCTCTTTCGACATGTTTTCTGACAGGACATCCAACATTTGTGCACTTGTAATAACTCCTGCATTTTTGGAATTCATAAATAGGTATATATTGACATCAGAACACAGAACCTTCAATGGAAGGGCACAACAGTATGATTGTAGCTAAAATTTGGATACAAAAGCAAAAGCGAGCTAAGTACTAATATATCAGTTTCTTCAACGTATTTACACAGGCAAGCTCCAAAGAATTTCATCAATAATATCACCGGAGCAATAAATATGGGCAACGTTATACTTGAATGTATATTATCTGTAACGGCCCAAACCCACCGCTAGCAGATATTGTCCTTTTAGGCTTTTCCTTTCGGGTTGCCCCTCATGGTTTTTAAAACGCGTCTATTAGGGATTGGTTTCTATTCCCTTATAAGGAATATTTCATTCTCCTCCCCAACCGACGTGGAATCTCACATTATCTTTAAGAAATGTTAAAGATATTTGGCAATGCATCCGATCATCATTAGAAAAAAAAAAAAAAAGAACTTACCTTGGGTTCGGGTTTCCTCTCACTACCTTCTGGCCATATTTGCGCCAGCGATACCCATCATCCAGTATATCAACCTCACTTAAGGTTTGAACCACGACACGCGGTTCCCTAATTGGCCTAACCATTGCTGGGCATGCCTCAAAACCACCAAGTTCCATTTTCCTGATGAATTTGATTAAAACAGAACTCACAAACAGTACAACAAAACAGTGTGCTGCCTTTTCTTATGCACAATACTCGGAGAACATGTTAACTTGTAAACAAGTATACCTCCGCTTCATGATTATGTCATCGTCATCAAGCTCATCAGGATTCTTGCATGGCAGAGTTGTTCCTGCACCTTCAGTGTTGCTATCATTTGCAGCAAGTCGTTCGGGAGTTCCATTTGGCTCAATGGAATGCACTGTCTGAGTGTATATGCTGCACGACCTGTCTAAAATGGAATATAATAGATTAAACAACCATGCTTAACACCCTGTAAATGGATTGAACTTATGAAATATTAAAGATGGAAACTAAATACACAGGTTTATTTCTCTACCATCTTGGCCAGTTAAAGGTGAAGGCTTATCAGGACCATCTTTCACAGAAGCACCTGCAGAATATCGCCGACTTGGCTGAAGCTTAGGATGATCATGAGTACCCTTATAGACAATATCGGTTATTTGTCCATCGTGAGAGCGCTCAAAGAGCTTTTTCACTTCACAGTTAGGATGTGTACATTTATAATAACTACGGGGAAATTCGCTCCCTTTAACTTGCTTCTGTCCATACTTCCGCCAGTTATATCCATCATCAGATATTCTATCTGAAACTACTGGACTGCCACTGCCTTTTGGATCAGATTGTGCGGCCTGAGCCCTGGTATTTGTGTTCAGACTATGATTGAAATCGTCTCCATCAACATCAGGAACAGCAGCCCCTGAGGCAACTGGATCCATCTGGGTTGATCGACTCGAATCATTTGAAATGACATTGATCTCACTTTTAGTCATGGGTGGAGCAGTAAATGGTTGAGGTTGGCCTTGAACTTGAAGTTCACAAGATTGTTCATCTTTTCTATGACTCATATCTGCAGGAACCTTGGAGTAAACGAAAAACATTAGGAAACAAGCACCTAAATTGGGGGAACATCACCACTCAAATCATAGGCTAAACTATAATTCTAGTCTCTACACCAAGTACATTCTTGAAACAAAGAACTTACAGGACATGAGGAAGCTGACATGATAAGACTTCAACTTTATATCTGACATTACAAAGGTAATGTCAACTTTCATATGATGACACGTGACCTTTTAGTTAGTGTTTTAATTGGGGAGTGAAAGTTTGAAGCTAAATTGATAAATTTTCAAAGTATAGTTTTTGAAATGAAACAAATGAGTACAGGACAGAAATGTTAACACTAGTAATGTCCAAAGACTTAAATTGACAGGGAGATTGGAAATAGTAGGAAAAAAAAGTTCAAAGCAAAGAAGAATTAGATGTAAAAAAAAAAAAAAAAAAAAAAAAAAAAAA